CGGCCCCCCCCCGGCGCCACGAGCCTGCCCCCCAGCCAGTCCCCCCGATTTGCAAATCTGCTCCAGTGTGGAAAAGCAGCAGTGCCGGGGGGCCCTGACACCTCCTCTGCCAGTGCGGGGCTGACACCGGGGATGCTTGCAGCAGTTCTCCAATCTCTGTGTGCCGAGGGGGTGCCGGAGGCAGCAGCCCCACAGCCTTCTCCCCGCCGGCAGCAACAGGCTGCTGTGAAGGCAACGCCCCAGAGAGCAGGAGGGAGAAACCGGGCCCTCCACCAAACCCGGAGGAAAGGGGGTCTGTACGGCCACAGAGCAGCCCCTGGTACTCCTAGCTGGGTCAGAGCTGGGGCAGCTGCCCACGCCTTACCGGAGAGGTTTTCCCGTCCTCATCGGCCGCTGCAGGGCTGGGCTGGGGTCACAGCTTCGGCACAGCCATCCTTCGCTGCGCAGCACGGTGCAGAGCGAAGTCAGGTCCGTGGGGACGGGGCAGAATCTGTTTGGCGAGCGGGTTCGTACGTCAGTGCCAGCGCCGGGTGCGGAGGGAAACCAGTCCGACCTGCTGCCCGGCTCCACCGCTGCCTGTTTCCCAACTGCTGCAGGCACAGCACGTGAAATACCTGCCTCTGCTGCCGGTCACCCCAGCCAGGCACGGAGGAACACTGGGCAGGGGCAGCAGGAGCCTCGGCTGCAGCCAAAGGTCTGAGAGCAGGCGAGGTCTGGCCCTGGGGGAGAGCAGCATCCTGGGCACCGGGGGGGTCCTCGCTGCTCTCCCGGCTGCCTGCCCACCCAAGGCCCCCCTTCTCCACTGTGTGCCTCGGAGGGCTGTGAGCACCAGCTGAGGATAGGAGGTTAGGGGATGCGCAGCCATGTCCAACCCCAGCAAAAACCCTCTCGTGCGCTCCGGATGACCGAGCAGTCCGGAATGGCCTCAATGGAAATGAAATACTGTTTCACTCTAGTTTGTCTAGGGGCTTTTTCACTCCTTTGCTAATGGAGGGATGCTTTCACATTGTGCAAGGAGAAAGCAGCGGTCTCCCACTTCCTCTGTGGGCATGAGCTAGGAGATGCTTTGCTTAACCCAGAACTCACATTTGGGAGAGGTAAAAATATCCAGATTAAAAGGAAAAATGCCCAGCTCCATTGTGTGCTTTCTGATGCCCAGACCCCGGACCCATGCCCCTCAGTGCCACATGCCCTGCTCGCCCCCAGCCCCCGGCTGCCAGAGGAGCAGCTGCGGGGCAGAGGAACGAGGCTGCGGGGAGCCTGTGCTTGCATTCCTCGCTGGCTGGGGTTGCACTGTGGTCTCTGCTCTGCACTCCACGGCAGAGAGGTGGGATGGTTTTCCAGATATGCAGCCAGTGCTTCGCGTAACCTGGGCTGCTCCCAGCTCCAGCCAGCGTGTGGATGAGCAGCCTCTGGGATAAGAGGCCGTTGCAAGAGATGGCCGCGCTCCTGCCTGCCTGCAAGGGCTGGCACCGGGCGGTGCGAGGGAAGCACGTGGCTCGGCAGGGAGGAGTACAGCCTCTCCGATGGCCCAGTCCCAGGAGGCTCTGTCTGGTGGCACGTTGCGTCCCATGAGCCCCATCCCAACACTGTATTTTCCAGGCACATTTCTCCCGGCATTATTCATAGCATAAGTCCCTTATTCATCCGGCTCCCCACCCACACCTGCTCATTGGCAGGGCAGGAGACAAGCAGGGCCATCCAAGCTTGGAGGAAACCTGCTTCAAAACCCCCTTGATTTCAAGGCTGAAAAGCCTGGGATCCTGCCATCCCCTCCACCCTGTGCCGGGGCTCCCCACCTGTCCCTTCCCAGAGGGGTGAATTCCTGCCCTTCTCCCGTGCACAGCCTGGGGCCAAACCCGGCCAGCCAGAGAGGGGGATTGGGGAGCCTGGAGGAGAAGACCGACATCCAAGTCCATCCTGATCTTGGTGTTTAGCCCTGTTTTCTTATGGCAAGGTCATTGTCAAGCCCTTTGCCTGCCTCTCTCCAGCACGCCCACTCAGGACCTCATTGCCTAGGCAGGTCCAGCGCATGTGCTTCAGTACACGGGGCAAATGCTTCCCGTGGTGGTGGCCATAAGCCAGGCCACCTGCTCTGGGGATCCCCTGCTTTCAGAGTGGTTTCTGAGCCAGCCCTCACTCTGCAGCACACTCCTCTTAGCTGTCACACGCAGGACGAACAGCATCCTATTTGCTTTTTTGCAGGCGCCCTGTGCCTCTGAGGGCTCAGCCCTACTGGGGTGCAGGGGCAGAGGGAGGCAGGAGCTGGCCAAGCACCAAGCTGCGTCCCTGGACAGCCCTGAGCTGGCCTTGCCCACGTGCCTGTGCGAGCTGCCATGTCCTCTTCTGAAAAGGGATTCTCAGAAAGTAGCTCCAGGTGGCAGCTCCAGAAATGACTGCTTCTACAAAGCTACCTACAGAAAGCAAGTTACAGAGAAACGTGTGTCTGGGCTTGACCCCGGCAACCTGATGTTAAATGTCATGTGTGTGCAACACCTCCCGGGTGAAATCCTCACACTTTCTTGCTGGAAACCGCTCCTATGAGTCGTGCTGCACCCTCCCGCCCTCCCGCTAGCAAACAAGGTGCTAAAAGCACACAGCACACACAGCCAGAGCCGGCACTGCCACCCCGGGAGAGCCCAGCGGCGCCTCCGCTTTCTGCTCCGACATCCAGGCATGAGGGAATGAGAAAGGGAAGAGCAAAACTCTGCTCTTCCAGGCAAAGCGTTTTGTCCTGCGGCAGGGCTGTGCCGATGCAGAACCAGCCCTCTGGTCCCAGTCTGAGCCCTGCGCTGCACGGTGCAGCATCACTGCCCGAGCCTGCCCCTCCAGGCAAGCTCCCGGAGTTTTGCCTCCGCGTGCAAAACTCCCCGAGGTCTGCAGTGGTGGAACACAGGGAAGAACAGAGACCAGCTCTGCCAGGTGTTCTCCAGGCTCTCAGGCACTGCGTGGAGCCCCTGGGCCCCCTGAGTCACACGGAGGACAGTGTTAGGTTTCTCTGCAGTGGTGTCACCCAGCCTGGCCAACACAGCGGCCCACGAGGGGTATTTCAGGGTGGGCTACATCACCCACGGGGCTTGTGGGCTGCTGGAAATCCCAGCCCCCCTCTGTCCCGAGCTCTATCGAAGGTGTTGGCATCGCCGAGGCTGTGGCAACCTCAGCCCCCGCCACAGAGGCGCACCCTCACCCCCAGCCACAGAGCGGCAGCTCCAGGATGTGGGTGCTGCGCAAGGGAGCGGCAGCCAGGCAGGTGGGAGGACGAGGCCGAAGACGTGCTTTGCCCTGCAGCCTGCCTCGTGGACATGGCAGCCCCTTCACCAAAGGGGTGCCTGGGGCTAGCAGCTGGCAGGAGGGTCCCGGTGGGAGCCGGGTACGGGGCCAGGTGGCTGCAGCTCCCAGCTGGGAGAGGAGAGGAGCCGCAGAGGCTCTGGGGAAAGACATGCTGTGCAGCTCTGACTCAGGTGATTTCCAGGTTATTAAAAACATGGTTATTCCTACTCAAAGATTAGTCAATTATTTTTAAGATGAAAAGGACACTCAGCAGTGTTCTCAAGGGCTGGTTTGAGTTGTGAACTCAAAACCTCTCCCGCCAACACTGAAAACACAGGGCTGCTCTTTTCTGTGATGCTTTAGTTTTAACACGGTGCTTCGGGTGGTCAGCAACGTCTGATGCAAAGCTCGTACGTGGTTATCGCCGGGTGCCCTGCCTGTGCTGGGGCTGCAGGGGCCAGGGGGTGCCTCAGCACAGCGCGTGGCCATGGGACAGGACAGGTCCGGGGCGGGGAGGGCGGCTGCCGTGCCCGCCTGCCTCGGGCTGGGAAGGCAGCTCTGCCCCCCTTTCCCTGTAGGACAGCGGCTCCCTCCCCGGGCTCCTCACAGCAGCGCTGGTGGCAGCAAAGGTGGTATGGAGACACGAATTCTGCAGCCTTGAGGATGCCAAGCGTCATTCATGGAGGATGAGGGGAAAGCACTGACAAGACAGGGATCCTGGCTGCCGTGCCCGCCTGCCTCGGGCTGGGAAGGCAGCTCTGCCCCCCTTTCCCTGTAGGACAGCGGCTCCCTCCCCGGGCTCCTCACAGCAGCGCTGGTGGCAGCAAAGGTGGTATGGAGACACGAATTCTGCAGCCTTGAGGATGCCAAGCGTCATTCATGGAGGATGAGGGGAAAGCACTGACAAGACAGGGATCCTGGGCAGCATCTGCACCGTGAGCTGCAGTGTGGACAGCATGCGGGCACGCCACCGCGCTGCCCCCCCCCAGCTCCTCCCGCAGCACCTGGCAATGCTCACACCCATGCAGCAGCTCAGGTGCCAGCATAAGCACCGCAGTGGGGCTGTGCCACTCACAGTCTGAGTGTTCAGCAGAACCCTTGTTTCTCCTCAGCCTGTTTCATTTTCCCCTAAATTGTGAACCATTTCTCCCTAGTCTCTGAACTGCCTCACCCACAGGGCCAGCTTCACGTTGTCTTTTCCACAAGGCTCCCTCCTTCCTCATTTTTGGTCCCATTGCTTTTGATCTTCATTCCTTTACATGAAACACAAGCTGTGGCTTTGTGTGGGATGGGCTGTGCTTCATCTCAGAACTCCTAATTTCAGTGGTTGCCAGATCTGACTCATGAGCTGATAGCAGAGCAACAGGACATCAACTCGTCTCTCAAAGAGGGGAGAATAAAGCCAAGCTGAGGTGAAGCCGGGGGTTGGGGGGCATATGCTGCTGGAGCCGTCCTCCCCTGCCCACCTCTATGGCTGGCCCTCAGCAGAGGAACGGCTGTCGGCGAGGGAGAGCCTCTCCCCGTGCCTGTATGTCCCATGGCCCCAGCGGAGCGGAGCTGAAGCCTGCATGTCCCTGGGTGCCACGAGAGCCAGGCATACCACCGTGCCGTGCCCGGGGTCCTGCCGCCAGGCTCAGCGGCACCACTCGACTGACCCTGCGGCTGACAAATTTGTTGGTGCTCTGGCAAGGCTGAGAGTTTGTGGAAGCCTGTGGGCTCTAGCAGGAAGGATGATTCAAGGGATGAACTCTGGTCAGAGTCAGGGGAAGCAGCAGCAATCTCCCACTTTGGGCATTTAAGATGGCTTTCTGAGGAGCCACTTTGCTGTGGCAAAGGGACCCGAGGTCCTCTGTGCCCACTGAGCCAGGGACTGCTCTGAAACTTTCTGAGGCTGTCCAGAGCACTCTTAGTGGAAAGGACACAGATAAAAAGAGCAAGAGAAACCAAGTCCACAGTGGGAAATTCCTCTTCTTGAGACAAATTGCTATCACATGAGGGCCCCTGGGTTTGCACAAGTCCCAGGAAAGCCATCAAGCAAGCTCTGTTGTAATTCAGCCTGCCAGAAGGCACATCAGAGGACTCACAGTCCGCTTGGTGGTCATTCAGATCTTAGCACCTGAGACCTGCGCCACCAGACAGGCGGGACATCGCCATGGGGCAGAGTCCCACAGTCATGCGCATCACGGCTGTACCAGGGCCCGGGGTCTGGCTGTCAGAGCCCCAGGGACAGCTTAGAGCCCCATCTGCTGCACCCAACTTCAGAGTTTGCGCTGCCACCCACATGGGTAGGTGGTTGCAGGACACATAATAGCCCAGAGATTGGCATTTGGTCCCAGAAACGGGGAATGGCAAATTGCAGGCTAAAGCAGGAGGGTACAGGCTGAGACCAAAGGAAGGGAAAGTGAGACCCCTCTCCTGGGTCTCTAGGGCTGGCTATGACGTGGCCAGCTTTAGCCACTGGCAGGATAGGGCATTAGCCCAAGGGGACGCTGCTGGGCGGGTGCTGTCCTCAGTAAAATCCCTGCGACTGGTCATCCTAGGTGCTAATGCTTGCCCACTGTGCTGTGCTTTTAACATCTCATTTAATAATGAAGCAGCAAAGCCAGATGCACGATTTACTCCTATTTTCCCTTTCTCAGCGATGTACCATTCTTCAGAAAAGCCCCCAAAGCTCTTCCTTTAAGGCTGCTTGTAGGAAATGCCCAGCCTTGGCTGATAGATTAGCTGTCAATGAGTGGGTGGACAGTAAAGAAAAGTGGAAGTTGCTACACAGCTACTTTCCTCCCGCTGCGCTAACGCCTCCGAGACGTCACTGAGCCAGCCTCCAGGGGAAAAACAAGCATTCAGCAGCCCGCCAGAGCAGAGCCCGGCACCCACAGAGGATGCTGAGCCGGCATGGCCCTCTCCACCACAGCCCTGGCACTGTGCATGATCCTGCTTCTCGCCCTGCAGACGGACGGTGAGTCTTTCTTGCCCGAACCGCGCTGGTTTTCGGCTCCCCATTCGCTGTGTCTGAGCCGCATGACTCCTGGCTGGCTGCTCTGCTCCCCTCTGTGCCTGAAATCCCAGCTCTGGGCTGGGGAGCGAGACAGGGGAAAGCACATAGGACAGGCAGCGAGCGGAGCTGCTGTGGTTTGGAGCTCCAGCTCACACAACTTTGCTGGCTGGTCAGGGCTCAGGCTGGTGGTACCTGCAGGCTACTGCCTGCTTGGAGCAGGACACAGCCAGGGCTCCTTGCTCACTACTCACCTTTCTTCACTGTTCAGGAACCTAAACGCTGTGTTAGTCCTCAGGCATCAGTCTCACTTATCTCCACCAGCGCGGACCACCGTGCCTTGTATTGCGGTGAAACGCCCCAGTCGCTATTGCGGTGCTCTGCCGACAGCCGCCCCCCCCAGGCAGCGGCGCAGCTTGGTGTTTGTTGTCAGACAGCAGCTGCCGAGGAAGCCAGCATAGAAAGGGTAACAGATGCTATCTAGCGATGCTTTGCTGCCAGGTGACAATACCGAAATTCAGGCAGGAGGTGTGAAAAAGTCTGTTTCTTCCAGAGGGCAGATAAGCAAAACAGGAAAGCTGAATCCAAACAGAGCCACTAGCAAATGGCAGGGGCGGTCAGGGATGCAAATACAGTAGGTTCCTTTCTCGGGCCGGAAAAGCACCGAGATCCTCTCAGCTAGGCTGAACTGGGCTCTCCCCAGAAGAGAGGCAGGGCAAGAGGGGGATGAGCAAACACTGTTTTTGGCCAAATCCTTGCACAAAGGCTGAGCCTGCAGCTGTTTGGGTGGGCAGGTGGGTGGTTAGTGCTGAACGCACAGGGTCAAGCTCCAGGGGAGCCATCGAGGAGGCAATTGCAAGGAGCTCTGCCTGTCTCCTGTGGGCACCAGCGGGACGTGACACCACATAGCCTCACCTAATGCTCACCTTCGGTCCCGCAGGTGAGAAGCTGGCAAGGCCCACACAGGTGCGCTTTGCTGCAAAGATAGCGCATCACCTACTGCAGTGGGAGCCAGGACAAAACCCCCCCCGTGATGTTCGCTATGAAGTGGAGCACAAAGTGTGAGTAGGGCAATGGGGGCGTGAGGGGGTTCGGTCCCTGCCTGGGATCTCATACCGACAGCAGTGACAACCTGCTGGCACCTGCCCGCACTGCTCTCAGTCCAGGCGCTTCTCCCTGCAGCTACGGCATGAATTTCTCCTGGATGGCTATCCCAAACTGTATGAAGATCTCTGAGCACTCCTGCGACCTCACGTACTACACCTTGGATCCCGCTCGGCGCTACTACGCACGGGTCAGGGCCGTGTCCGGAAACCGCACGTCCCCGTGGACAAGGACCAATTCTTTCTCCCCACAAGAAGGTGGGTCGGGTGTCACCTCCACCATGCAGCCAGGGGCAGGAAGCTTTGGGGATTGCAGAGGTCAGGGTGCCAAACTGCTTGGGAAGAACTTTGGGACAGATGAGAGCAGGGATATCTGTCTCTCTCTCTCCATACCTTCTTGGAGGGCAGCCAGGCCGCAGGATGGGATAGGACAAACCCAGGACAGGCAGCGCCGGCTGCGAGGGATAGTCACAGCTCAGCCTGCTGCTGCAACAGCTCTTGTTGCTGCACACAGGAGAAAACCCTAACGTGCTCTTCCAACTGACTTGTTTCCAGCCAGCCTGCGCCTGTCGGGCCAGAGCCTCTCTGTGATGGGCAACACCATCCACGTGCAGCTGCAGCTGCTCCTCAGGGCGGGGAACCTCACCGTGAGATACGACAACATACAGAAGCATGCAAGACTATACCGGGTGCACATCAGGAGGGCACAGAACAATCAGACGGTGAGAGGACTTGTTGGTCTGGTGCTGTCTCCATCTATCACGTGCAGTGCCGCTCAAGTTGAAAAACACATTTTTAAAGTAGTCTTCTGTAAAACTTAATATTGAGCTGTCTCACAGCCACAACATCACAGAGAGATGGCTCTGCATGTTTTATCATAGTAAGTCCCGCAATTCTTGCTGTGATTTTGGGTCTAGCTGCCGTCAGCCGTACTGCTAAGCACCCTGGGGACTTTCCCCAGGGGACAGCGGAGTAGGAGGGAGGAAAGCACAGGGCCCTGCAATCCTGCAGGAGCTGGGAGCTATGAGGTACCAGCCCATGCTCTGGTCATTTCAGTATGAAGTGGTGAAGACTACCCCAGAGTTCAACATCAGCAACCTCTTCTGGGACACGGAGTACTGCATCAGCGTGGAGCCTGACGTGGCCAGCCGGCACACCCGCGCCATGCACACCGATGAGCAGTGCGTCACCATTGGCGAGAGAGACAGTAAGTGGTGGGGGAGCCAGGAAAGGGGGTAGGGCACAGATTCTCCTCAACCTCCTGGCCCTGGAGGCATGGGAGTCTGCACGAGGGCGGTCGTTCCGTGCCCCTGCTGCAGGGGCTCTGTGCTATGTGCACCAAGGACTCTGCCTCTCCCCCCTCACCTGGGCACTTCCTCTCTTGCAGGGAGCTCAGAGCTCATCCTGAGCATCATCAGCTCCTCCTTCATCACCCTGCTGCTCTTGAGCCTCCTGGGAGCCCTGCTGGTGTGCATCTACGTAAAGAAACCCATGAGGCCGCCGTCCGTCCTGGTAAGGCAGCTGGGCACACCGCATCCTATGCGGCCAGCACGAGGGTACAGGCTCAGGTAGCTGTTGGGAGAGGCAGACAACAAGAAGGAAGGAAGCACAGCTCAATTCCCTCTTTTTTTGTCCTTCCCAGAAGTCTTTCATAAAGCAGAGCTCGCTCTGGGTGGAGCAGGAGTCCTCATCCTCGGGAAGCCTGGATGCAGACCCCATCCAGCAACTGTTCCTGGGCCAGAAGGAGCCCCAGCAGGACAGTGGCCCTGACGGCAGCACCGGCACAGCCCAGCTGCCCCTGGAGAAGGGCTGGAAGCTCCCAGCATGGTCCGAGGACCAGGTGTGCCTGCTGGAGCCAGGGGCCATGGGGAGTGGAGACAGCAGCTGCACCAGCACCGACAGCGGCATTTGCCTGCAGACCTCCTCCTCTGAACTGAGCTGCTCCTCGGGCCCCGAGCCCCAGGGCTACAAGCAACAGCTGCCCACAGGCGATGACAGCGGCATGGGCTTGGAGAGCGCCTGCCCCCCCTCCACGTGCTCCTCCAGCAGTGGGAGCACCAGCCCCGCAGAGGCCAGGCGGCCGCACAGAGGTGAACTCAGCCTCTCCCCCGCCGCCAGCCAGGACGGCCAACAAGACGTGGAGTTCCGTGGGTACCTGCAGCAGTCCAAGGGCACCGTGGAGCCAAGGCAGGACCCAGACAGGGGGATGCCCTTCTCTGGCTGCACAGGATCCCTACAAGATACGGGCAGCACTGACATCACGCTGGATGTAGAGTGCTCTGAATTGGCTGTGGCCAAAGGATATTTGAAGCAGTCCTCTCCTGAGCATCCCCACAGCCACGCACAGGACCTCGTTCCACGGGGAGCCCCTCAGGAGCCCACTGCCTGGGACTTTTCCAGACAGCTGGGGCCCCGAGCCCCCATTCAGCTGAGCTATGGGGCTCCAGGATCTCCCTTGGCCTCCAAAGCCAGCTGTGAGCTCCTGAAAGCTCCCTTTGACCTGAGCATCTTCAACACTGACCTCCTGGGGACACTGCCCATCACCTCCAGCCTCAGCAGCAATGAGTGGCTCACGCTGCAAATCAACCCCCTGAGCCTGCTCAACGGGGACAGCAAGGACAGCCGCCTGTGAGCCATCCCCGTGCTGGGGAGCAGGTGCCCGCCAGCACCGCACACTGACCCAACTACCTCTTCTAACCACTGCCCATGGGGAGCAGCTACTCCGATAAGCTACCGCCGACCCCTGAATGTTATTGCACTCAGCTGAGTGGTGCCCTGGCCGAGACTCACCCAAGAAGCACTGGCTTAGCTACTTCGGGGGCTGCTTTGGCCCCACCACCGCTGCAGCCAGCCCCCAGCGTGCCCTGCACCTGCCCTCCAGCCAGTGTCCCCTGTAAAGCTAACAAGACATGGGGACAGGCTGTACTGGAGGGGCTCGCCCCTGTCTCCGCTGACCACCAAGCCCAAAAGATACGCACCCAGCTGTTTCCAAAGGGTGATCCTGCCTTGTCTGCACTCCCCAGCAGCCCAGCACTGGGCTCGCAGCACCTGGGGTCAGGGCCACACTCGGGGCCAGCACCAGCCCTGCGCTTCCCCTCCCCACTTCACCCTTTCACAGGTGAGCGCCGGGCTCCTCCAACTGACATTCGTGCCACCGATGCCGTCCAAACCTTTTGCAACGGACACTGAAAGTGAAGAGTGGCCTGACATCAGCCATCCCGCTCCTGGGAGTGTGGAGCTCTCACCCTGGTTGGCCTCACTTAGAGGGAGCGATGGACTTTCCTGACCCTACAGATGCTCTTCAGCATTCAACCCCTATGGCAGAGACCTGGGGCGCTGGTTACCTCCAACAGGGTGCAGGATGCGTGCAGCAGCATAAGCCAGGGCAGCCCTGCCCACACTATGGTCCATGTTCTGCCACTATTGCATACAGACATTATTTATTCTATTTAATTTGTAAATACAGAAAGGATGTGGTGTTATTTATTTGGTCTATTCATCTGTACATCCTCTTCTAAGGTCAAGCATGCTTTCCATTTTCAGATATGGAATTTCCCCTGCAAAGGGCAACATGCTTTTGCCTCACACAGGGAAGAGCATTTCCACATCACAACTGAAAAAAAATAAAAAGGAGAACAAAGCCAGCCCACTGAGAACTTCACACTCATCTGAGGACTGGGGTAGTTGTCCCAGGCAAGTGTTGTGTTGCGGGAGCATGCAGGGAAAAGGACCTGGGCAGCCTGCAGAGATTTCACAGGGATGCACTAGGCATGCAGCACATCCCACGGGGTGGCAGCTCGGGGACTGCACACCAGGAAGGACAGGAACACCTCCAGGGCGGAGCAGAACAAGTCAAAACCAGGGAGTGTGGGAATAGTTTCTGTCAGAATGGAAACAAGCATGAGATGCAAACGACTTACCGTGGGCTACATTTGACTACTGCCAGGTCACCGGAGAATTTTTCCACAAGTCACTTAGTTTCCAAGAACCTTCATGGTGGGATAGTTCCATTAAAATTGTTGGTGGAAATCCAGCTTGAGGAGTACTTTTTCCAGGTGAAAACATGAATCACTGCTGTCAGGAGAAGAGTTGTTGATGCATTGCCACATTTCCTTCTATTACATCCGATTGCACACTTCAGATATGCCCTGCGTCACACAGAGGGCTTGGCTGCTGGCTGTGGTGGGCGCCCCGCTGCTGCAGCAGTGCCACCGATGCCAGCAGTACCATCGATGCCAGTGCCGTGCATCCTCCCGCCCTTCCATTTCCACCATCTCTTCTGCCTCTGGGTATTTTGGGGGTTAGGGGTTTTTGCTTTCTTTTTTTCAAGTTCTTCTGAAAAGCGGAGTCATCAAAACTAAGCGTGACTTTTTTTTTTTCCTCTCTCAAATGCTCCTGACGTCAAGCCCTGCGGCCGGATCCCGCGCAGTGCTGGGTGCTGCCAGTTCCTGCTCGCCACAAAACGCTCCAGCCAGCAGCGTCCAGAGGCAGCACGTAGGGCCGAGAGGGGCAGCATTTCCCCCCTGCCCCGTAAGCAGCCAGGGCCCTCCTTTCAACAAAACCCAGATGAGTTTGCCAGAAAGCCACAGACCACACGCTTTCGCTTCAATAGCCAAGAGCACAGACAGTCCCCGAACTCTCAGGAAATCCCAGATGCTCATATTTTCCTGAATTAAGTCACAGGCTAACATGCAGAGGACGTTCAGCTCTGACTCCTCCCATTCTCCTTGCACAAGAGGAGCCAGGGTGCAGACCGGGGCTCTCCGCTCCATCCTCACCACTTTTCCTACACACTGCTGCGTGGTGTCTCAAGTTTCCCTTCCTTTTCCTTCAGAGAAAACAGTTTGCAAAGAAACAGTCCCAAGCTCCTGTGCCTCACTAGTTCCCACCTGCCAGGCAGGGACCCCTCTCCAAGGGCCACAGCAACTTTATCAGGGATGCTGTGGTGCTCCAGACACTTCCACAGCTGGTTACTCTGCTGAGGTTGAAGGCAGCCAGCATGAGAAAGCCAACAGGGGTCGAGGTGTTTGCTTGCACTATCAGTGCGGAGGACAGATTTCCACATTGGCCCAGATATTTGACTGAGGGAAATCTGAAGCAGTCTCATTTCCCCGTGGCATTTTCCCCTATTGCACAAAACCAGTCATCCAGTCCTGTGGCTCACTGCGCTTTTTAGCTGGTTTCCGGCACTCCATTGCCCTGTTCACCAACAGCCTGGCCCAAGGTCTCCTGGGCACGCAGGGCTGGCGTGTCCCTGAGCCATGGGGATTCCTGGGGAAGGCATCTTTTCTTTCCAGATGTGTGCTGAGGAAGCCTGGGATAAGGCAGCTCCTTTTTCATCTCAAGCAAGGGGAGGCTGAGCCAGCGCACCGGCATGGCAATGGCAGCTGGCCCCAGGCATCTTCCAGTGCTGCCCATGGCCAGGGAGGACCTGCAAGAGAAACGTAGCTGCAGGGAGCAGACAGAGCAGCTCTTTTTAAAAAAAGAGAAACCGTACCATTCCAGTTTCAGTAGAAATCCAGCATATTCAGGGGCTTTTTTTATAAAGAAGCAAGAAAAGAGGAATTCCCCCATGGCTGGTTTTGGTTGCTCTTTCTGTCACTGCTGGAAGGTGGGCGTGCAGCAGCATGGGGAAGTGGCGCAGGGAGCACATGAGCTCCAGCCCTAGCCCTGAGCTGCATTCACCCCCAGTCACATGCACCCAGTCCCAGGCTGAGGACAGCACGGCACAGGGAAGGAAATGCAAACCAAAGCCTGCACGGGGGGAAAGAAAACCCCCGGGGAAAGCCCCTGATGCCCCACAGGTGTGGAAAGGACTTTTGCAGAAAAAACCTTGGGACTATCCCAGGGAAAGCTGCAATGACCAGGGGCTACAAGGAAGCACGGAGGCTCTGGGATGCAGCACTTGCGCAGCATCTGGGCTCCCCACAGAGTCACCGGCTGCTGCAGCAGCCCCAAGCGTTGGCTGCTCACAGGCACTTTAGGGCAGCTGCATGGCACCGCTGCTGTGTGCTGTGCTGGGGGACATACACAGCCAGGGAGCCGCTGGACCATCACCAGGCAGGGAGGAGCAGGGTGATGTCCTACCTGCAAACCAGCCCAG